ACATAAGTTATTTTATCACCTATCTGCTTTCTCTTCCTGATGTAGATATCTAATGAAATACCATATCCGTCAAGAACTTTTTTAACTTTTAACGAAGCGAAACATATTATTAGATATCTGATTTGATACTTCTACAGTTTAGCTATATATTTAATGTGTGGAAATAAACTTACGTTAATAGTTTGATGAACATTGCGATCGCTGTTTGTTCAAAACAAATCTWCCATGTAGTAATGTTGTTGTAAATAGGCATAGATACACTTTATTTTGATAACAACMGAAATAGGYAGTGATAATTATATGATTATCTAGGCTGCTTGATCACGATTAAAGATAATATTATAAATATTGATGGTTGCCCGATTAGCTACAAATTAACATCTTCACAACATTACTCAAGATAAAATAATATWATATTACATTAATTAAACAGTATTTTGTGGACCTGGTAGACTTCCGTCGCGCAGCTTAATCACGACGTATCGTTCACAATATCGTTATACACTAATACAACAACACTTTACACCAGGGGTTTCCAAACTTTGCTATTCGAGGGCTTCATAAAATTATAAAAAGCTCTTACCTTGCCAAAATGTATGAACACATAATATTTTAACAAGCTTAGGTTATTTACCTTCTTATGTAGTGCCGGTGAAAATTTGGCTGCTGACAGTAGTTTGGAGACCACTGCATTAGGTACTCTGCAGTTACCGCAATTCACGAAATAATATAATAACCGAACCTATTTGTATATTACAAAATGGATAATTATTACAATAATTTAATTATTAGATTAAAACTAACCATCACAGATATTGATTTGTGCAAGTTTGTTAATGTAAATGTTGCTGTTAAGATACTTAAAGATAAAGAAATTGATATTTAATAATCMTTATAATGAGGTTTTTTTATTTGAATTAAAACAAATTACATGTACAACAAACATAATATATTGTTACGGGCTTTCGGCCAGCATTTAGGTTGCTGGTAATGAATTATCTGTCCTTTTTTACGGTCTTGAGTTGGGCATCTCGGTGTATTCTTAAAAATGAAAAATATAATTAATAAACCTATAATAAATTATTAATGAAACTAAAATAGTAAAAAAAAAAACATATTAATATTAATTTATTTTAGATTCTGAACGAAGTGATGAATGTATTGATTTTACAATGATGTGTGTTTTTTTTTTTTTTTCGTATCTGTTTACAGCATAACTAGTCGAAATAATGCTTCGATTTCAAACTTTGGGGGTGGTTACCGATGTAAAAGTGAATATCATCCTTTATGCATTATAAAGGTCAAAAGTAAACATTTTCCAACAGTTTTCAAAAAAATCGAAAAAAACAAAAAAAATGACAGAAAAACGGGAATTTTTACGCAAAACCAGTTTTCGACCAAATCGATTTTTTTATATGGTTGTAATTCAAAAACTAATCACTGTAAATACTTGAAATTTTCACCAAATGTTTATGTTAGTGATATCTATATACAGTTTACTTTTCAAAAAATTTTTGACTTTTTTTGAGTTATTTATAGACCACTGAAATTTTAAATTTTTTTTAAAGTGCCAGTAAAAAAATGTTGGACGACCAAAAAAACTTGAAAATTTAATACAAGGTTCCTTATGAGTTGTTCTTATTGTAGCTAAAAAAAATTAAAAATCGTAAGTCACAAGTTTTTTTAATAAGCGTTTATAGTTCAAATTTTTACGAAATCTGTCGAAAACGCGAAAATTTGCAAGTAATTTTGAAGATGAAAAATCATAACAATTTTTGTGTTTGGAACTAAGGTTTAAAAATATAACATTAAGTTTTCCATAAGTTTTCCTTCAAGTAACTATAGAGAAAACTCGAAGCATCATAATAGGAAAAATTTTAAGTGCGTTTGAATTTTAAATTTTTACGAAATAGCGTAACGATAACGATTTATCCTCAAACGATTTTAAATATTTGTAATTATTCAAAAAGTATAAGTCGTAGATACTTGAAAATTTCTCAAGTTATTTAGATTGGAATTTTTTTTACATGATTTAATTTTCAAAATATTTTGACTTTTTGAGATATTTATAGACAACTGAAATTTTCAATTTTTCTGAAAATTTTCTTTTGAAGTGTCGATAAAATTTTTTTGGCCCTATCAAAATGCTTGAAAATTTAATACAAAGTTCCTCATAAAATATTCTTATAGTAATTAAAAAATTATAAAAATACATAGGCGCTTGTAAGACGGATACAACATACAACTCATGTGGGTGCGACGTCCTTTTGAGCGACTCAGTTGTTCAGTTCCCGTGAACGATTTCAACAATAATAAATTATTGCCTTGTGACGTCGGCCGCTTATGATATGTAGCCCGTCGTGCGACAATAATTATAAGTTTATTGTTATTATATTCTATCATAGTGTCACGGACAGTCATAGGATAACACAACACACAAGAMTGGATAGGACAAGTCTGTGCTGGATCCGTAAGCTGCCTTCCTATAGGGCTTATGTGCCTAAATACGCCTCTGACTACACGTCAAATTTTTGTTCACTAGTCTCAAATRTTTCATCAGTGTACCGTCAGTTCTGTTATTACAGTGAATTGACCAGATATCAAACTTTTATGTAAGAACATTGTMCGTGTCCTCTCGTCGGTATTTTACGATGTTTTAATTTTTAAATGAGTTATGAGTGTGTAAAATATAAATATTGGAAACTGCACAAAACTCATTCAAAAAAGTAAATATCGTAAAAAATAAAAAAACCAACGAGGGAACACGCATAATGATCTTACTTAAAAGTTTTACGACGGGTCAATTCACTCTAACATCAAAGCTAACAGCACACCATTGAAACTAGTGAACGAAAATKTTCCGATAGTAGTACGGGTGTAAGACGGAGACAACACGTGCGCTACACGACTTTTAGTTGTCTCCGTCTTACAAGTGCATAACAAGGCAAATTTCACATTAAGCTTCGTTATAGTTTTGATATTTTAGAGCGAATCGACCTATTAATTATTATATATAAACTTAATGTCAAGAACATTATCTGTGGTTGTATATGGTTTTTCTTACGATAGTTTAATTCTGTGGCAAGTTACACGTAGACGAAAAAGAGTGAATTAGAAATGCTCATAACTCACTTAAATACCTACTAACTACCAAAGGTGGGCAAGTTAATGAAAATAATTAACTYAAGTTAAGTTAAGTTAAGAGAATACAAGATTGATAAGTTAAAAGTTAACAGTTAATAAATTATAAATTTAACTCGATAAGTAAAAAGTTAATATGGAAAAAATATTAACTTAACTCAGTTTAAAAAAAGTTAATCTATATTTTTAAATTAGAATGTAAATCACATTAAGAGTGAATGTTATTGAATGTTATTTTTGTTTTATATTAATATAGTAATATTTTCGTGTAAACGAAAAATTTCAAAATGTTTTTAACTTGATGGAGTTAATTATTCTAATTTAATAAATATTTCTTAATAAATAATTGGCTTCTTATTTAATAAATCTGGCTACTTCAGAGAGGCCCGGGTATTTTTTTAAAGCGGCCCGAAAACTACTGTTCAAGTTCTAACCTAATACACTATTACAGACTTATGTTTAAAACACTACATATTTTTTCAGTTTACTTTTTTTGACGTTCAATCAAATAATATTGAAAAWGTACTATTCAGTATTTAGTGGAGTCAATATTATAAGTTGAATAAACTAAACTTCATTTGTAAAATAAGTTAAATGCTTAATATCATATTTATAATGATCGTGGTTCTTAAAACACCAAAGTGCTGTTAGTCCGTATGCAGTAAACCTGAAAAAACAGGAGGCCGTTTGGAAAAAAAAAATTAGTTCGCAAATGAGCTTAGTCTTTTCGCAAAAATACCAAATTGAGAAATGGCTTACGACATGTATAAGTATTAAGTATAAAAAGTATAAATAAATAGGGGGGACTAAGCGTAGAGGGTTTTTCCTCGTTCCCCATATTCCCTGTTACTTATTGTATATACTCTTATTTTAYTTTGTCATATTATATTGTTGATTTATTTTATAATATGTAAATGCCTACTGGTATATAGGTATACTGTTTTAAGTTTTTCTTAATAATTCTTTAACAACTTTTGTTTACATATCAACCTAAACTAAAAGTAAATTTTCTTAAAAACAATTTACACTTATACACTTTATATTGCTACAATTTTGAGAGGACCCTACACCCCCATGTGTTATCTTCGTCGTACAAGCGCGTAACATAGCTAATTTTACGATCAGCAGATCGCGTTTAGCTAGCTCCGTGAGTTTAAAATTTAAAATGAATTGACGTCTTATGAAAATTAAAAGGTARCATTATTATCGARGTCTTCWCAGAGGCTTTTTAYTRTACTTAAATTTTAAAGCGAGCTATGAATATTTTAAGATATGCAAACARTTTACAATTTTAAAATACTCATAACTCGCTTTAAAATTAAARTATAATAAAAAGCCCTCTTAAGAGRATGTTATATTATACCCATTAGTTGAAAAGTTTGAGTTAAAAAGTTCGTAAAATGTAGTAAATTACAAACTAACGCGCATAAAAGCCAACAGGGGTGTAATATTATAATATATTATTATAAATCAGACAATATTATAAAAATGCATGTGTAACAAACGCCAAATATTATCAATAGATAGAGCCAYGATGATTTTCCCATGTACCACAAGCGTCACACTGCCGCGGTTCCAGTCACCCACACTTAACCCGTTTTTAGCCAGTGGCAATAACACCCGAATGCGGAGAACCCTTGGTTTTACTCCATGGTTGCTGCGATGGCGCCGCTGCCACCGCGCATCGGCAGGTTGTCGACAACAACCGAACAATTTTCGACCGTACAGCATAATAATAATCGATTATTTTTGGACGCCATCGTTACGACTGCGAGTAGGTACCGCACATGAGCTGCACCGGTAGTGCTGGTGTCGTCAGTCGTCCATGTCTGTTGTTGCTGTGCGGCGTGCATTAGGCCTCTCCGTCCGAAGCGTTTAGCAGCTGGTTTGTTGGTTCCATTAAATATTATATTGACGTTCTGAACGTCATCAAAGTCGATTTGGACATCGGATCGGTTGAAATTCAAGGTGTTTGTTTTAATTTTTTCATAATAAAATAGATAATCATTAGTTGTTGTATTATTCACAAAAAAATCAAATCATAACTCGCGTGATTTAGTCCCAAAGCTTAAACGATATCATAATCGTATGTATAGAGCAGCGGTTCTCAAACTTGTTTTTTCGCGTACCACTAAAGTAAATTATCAATTAGTAGCGTACCACTGATGATTAAAAATATCGACAATATCAATGATTATACCAATACGATATCTTATTTATTGACATATTTTCCGTGAAATCTGACCTTATTATCTGAATATTAAAAAAAACACACGACGTTTTAAAATCATTGCTACGCTAAGAATCTGATATTTATTTTTAATTTTCTATCCTATCACCGTGCGGCCTTCCACGTACCACCATGGAGTCTTTCACATACCACTAGTGGTATGCGTACCACAGTTTGAGAACCGCTGGTATAGAGAATGCTAGGATATCTTGAACATTTTTTTTAGAACTTGTCCATGTTTACCTAGACATATTGTATTAATTATGTCGGTTGTAATTTTATTATAGAAACATGGCTTGCAGTAGTGAATCATCCCAATCATTGCCATCTAAATCTAAAACCGACACCATTGAGAGTCCTAAAGTTGATGATAATGTTACATCTTCTGGCAGTCAAATTCAGATACGCGTGATAACTTGTGATTTGACCAACGAAGTACACTTCCGTTTGAAAACTGAGGTAGCGATGGTCCGTTTGAAAACCGCATACTGCAAGAAAATGGGTCATCAGGTGGATGAGATACGTTTTGTGTTCGATGGTCATCGAATCACCGACTGTGATACACCAAAGTCGTTAGGTATGAAAGATAATGATGTCATAGAGGTATATCAAGAGAGAACTGGCGGTGGTATGTAATGATTGTATAAACATAAGTTGTTTAATTTGATCCACTATGATTCATTTTTAATCCTATTTCTTTATATAATGTTCACAAAAAAGTAAAAGTTTTTAATTTATTTTCCTTTATCTACCTACAGTAGTTATTGTACTTCATTTAAATTACCATCAGATATTAATCAATATTTTAAGCTAAAATTAAAAAAAAAAAAATGTATTTCAAATGATTAATTAAAGTTATTAAAGAGTGTAAATCAAACTATTATGTCAAAATATCATATTTTATTTTTGAATATTTTTGATGTATTCTACATAATTAGGATTAATATACCCAAGACTTATAAATTGTAATAAATGCACACAATAAAAATCAATTAAATATTTAATTGAATTGTCGATTATATCATTTGTGTACCTATTTTATTTATTTTATTTTTTTCCAATAGTTAACCCAATTAATTATTATATTTTGTATTAATGTAAAGATAAATTTACCTATTAACTTGATTGTTTTTTTTTTTTAAATTCATACAATAAAGAACATTTGAATACATATAACCGTGATTAATTTATAATAACTAGTCGCACTTTCATCCTGACGTTTTTAGTTAACAATGATGGTTTTGTGATTATTTTAATAATACTTATTTTATGTAAATTTTTTTTAGGATATAATAATATGTTTAACTAATTTGAGCAATTTGTATATGGCGAAAAAAAAGAAATGACAAGGTTTATAAGTAGGGTATACCTAGGTTTTATTTTCATAAGGGGGGAGGGCTTTTCAATTGAACTATTTTTAAATACGTACACAAATCTGAAAGCTTGTGTACTCACTACATTTGATTCCAATTTTGAGTCGCTATGATGCTATATTTGTGAAATATAATTAGGTATTTATATTATTAAATTATGAATAATGTGGTGATTATTTTTCATTGATCTTACAATATGTAATAACAATCTTCATTTTCTGCGGAACTGTTTGGTTTGATTTTTGGTTAATCTATGTATAGTTATTATTGTTTTTAAAATATTATTAATTTCATTTGATTCATTGAAAATCATTTTTAATCAAATTGAATTTTATATTAAAAATTGTACTGACTGGTATAGTATAACAGCTTTTCTATACATAACACTGAAAGAATAAAATTTGATTATTGTATCTCATTTAGTAACTTTTTTGTACACTAAGTACACATTAGATGATAAGTTATTACAACTCGTTGGCTGTAGCTCTTCTAAAGCTGAAGCTACAGGTAATCAAATTTCTTTTATTATAATAACAGAACCATGACATTCAACCCATCTGGTTGGATAAAGTTGCTTTAATTTAGTTTTATTTGAATTATGAATTGATATTTCAATATTACGTTGAAAGACCTATTGACATTTCAGAGTATTCAAAAATKTATATATTTTTTGGAGAATACCCYGAATATCAACAGCATTTCTAGTCGGAACTACAGTTGTATTAGAAWAAGTTATTCAACAATAATAGCTATTGTATTAAATAAGTTACAATATTATGTTGGTTGAATTTGTTAACATAATGATACTGTGCCACTGACGTCTGCGATAAGCCAAATTGTATTGGTAATAATATAATCGTAATAATTCTCCGGTCTTGCTTATAATATTGATTCGACGAGCGTTTTTGTAATGATAATACGTATAATACAGAACAGTAGAACAGAGGTCACTCCCGGTTCCCGGAATATCAGGTAAAAATATTAAAGTTAAAATCAGATCTTGTATTGTTATATACCTACTTCTACAGTTTTAATAAAATATAAAATGTTTAATAGATTTAATCACTTACAAGTTAAAATGATCATAGCTTCTACTGTTTGAACTTATTTCAACCTCAGTACRCAAAGTTAAATAGGTAACTCTTGATTAAAAATTKTATTAAGATTTATCAATATTTTCAAAACAGATCTAAACAAGTAACAGTAAATAAATGGTGATTCATGTATGAATGCTTGGTGATTCTTGGTCGCTAATAATAATCTAAAAAAATCAAAAAACAAATCAATATTTGATTAGTATTTATTTTACCTACTTCTTAAAGTATATAATGTTAATTTAATATTTTTGGAAAAAAATAAATATAATATTTATAGATAATATTCACGCTGATATTATATTCTTCGAAAATCATGGTATTGGAATTTTTAGCTGTAATATCAACGTTAGCAACAAATTAAAAAAAAAAAAAGTTTCATAATGTATTTACTTTAACCGTTATTAGTTTATATCTGCTTTATACTATTATAAATATTAAACAATATATAGATAATATAGTACACATCATATAATAGTTATGTATCTTTCATGACTTTTACGTGTTTTATCAAAATTCGAACTTTAAATGCTTATAAAAAAAAACTGTGACTATGTACCTACATAAATATTTTTTATATTTTTTAACTACCATTGTAAAACAATATATTAGGAATCTTGTTTTAAATTATCATATTTAGTTTAAAAAAAAATCAAGTATGGAAAATGCAAGTTYAAATTTTCAGTGAAAAATTCCATGTGTACCTACAGTTTTTTGTGTTAAATCAATATCCAAATTTCTCAATAAYCGATTTTGCGTAGAAACTCYGGTTTATCTTTAAATTTTTATTCTTCTTGGTACTTTTGAAAATCACTAGGAATTTAAAAATTTGACCTTCTCAATATGCACCAACTAGATTCACTTTACAACCGGAAAAGCTACCAAAGTCTAAAATCAAAGCATTATTTGCAGTGGAATTTCATAAGAAAACGTGAATTCATTTTTAAATACACTAAAAGTAAACTGATGAATGATGATGAACTGGTTTTTATTAAATTTGTATTTATTTGYTTAGTGATAAATGTGTAGGTTAGGTAAAATATAAAATAAATAAAAAATATAATAATAATAATAAAATAAATTATAAAAAAAAAATGTAAATAATGTTATTAACTTTAGTGCTTTAAATAATAATAATWAATTTGTTTGATAGATWTGTATGTTTTTCTATGGCTATACATTAAAATCYTWTGTTTCCTGAGGTACAAATCTACGACTATAGTCTTTTTGTTGTAACCTATTGTCGTTTTTTTTGCGATTTGCCTCTCGAACTTTACCATCAAAAAACGTCATATTTTGTATTTTGTGTCAAATTTTTATRTACATATATTTTATAATCAATACATAATTTCATGTTTGTCATCTATTTAAAATTAACAATAACTTGTTYTTAAAATTTATTAGAAAATATGTTTAAGATTGTTTAACATTGAACATTGAATTGCTTTTTGTACTTATTCAATGACTTAAGAGCGTTTATTTTTGTTATGAAATTTTATAAGAAAACATGAATTAATTTTTAATTTTAGGTACGATTTCGTGTTTGTGATCTACTTACTTGTATCTAATTATTTATTCAGAAAAATATCGTTTTTCCATGTCATAAAGATTATAATTTGTGTGATTTCATCAGGTACAATAATTTGCTTTTAGTATTTTTCTGCTAACCTAAAAGCGATTATTTTCCTATGGAATTTCATACGAAATCGTAAATTACATCTTTATGACATATACCTCTAAGTACACTGACGACTGATGTGTATTGGTTATTATTAAATTGTTTTAATTATTTTTATGATAAATGTAGGTACCTATATATTATTTTCAATATTTATCAAAAAAATGTAAAGGTTATTATAAATAACTTGTCCTTAATATTTATTAGAAAATATGTTTAAGATCTCTAAGTTAAATTGAATTGCTTTTAGTATTTATTTAGTAATTTAAGACCGTTTATTATTTCGACAATTCATCATGTACACAGACAAAATAACAGACACGCGCCCGCACATCACTGAAAAATTAATACATTTATCATAGCTCTGCTCAGAGTCTAAAAGTTAGTTAAAAATACWAAATTACTAATTCAACAGAATGAAATGGTTATGATATAAAACCATRTTTTTACAATAATAATCATTTTCATAAACATATTAGTTAGGTATATGCTAAAAAAATAATTTACAAAACTTTAAAATATTATAATATTGTCCAAAAAAATCGTACAAAATATAATTATGTTTAATACGTCAAAAATTATAAATCATTATAAGTAGCAGTAATGATTATGAAATATATATAGCTATGTATGATATGTTAAACGGAATGTTAGAATAATATTTTAAACTATGAACTWATAGATTACCTATGTTACACAATTTTTGTAGACATTCTAAGTTCAGTGAAAAAACGAAAAACGGAAAAAACGTCGGTCAAAGTCATATATTTTAATAGTATCCATATCCATTTAATATCCATTTAATATCCATTTCTACGCAGACTTAAGACTGTCTGCAGAATCAGTAGCCACTACAAACAGGCTAAAAATGATGCTTAGATTTTATTAAAATTTTGAAGTATTTTTTTAAATTCGTAAATATTATGGCACTTTGGCCGCGACTTGGGTTAGACTTGGTTTTGTGACAAGWCCAACAGGTGCTTTTTTACTACCTGAAAAAAAAACTGTAAATTGTATATTTGCACCACCGGTATTATGCAGATAATAGCCAATAAAATAACATGATTTATGTAGGTACAGATTTATTGTATAATGCATTATGTCAGCGGTTCTTAACACCTAACATAAGTCAACAAGTGATACKGCGAGTGCATTATTACAATATTTTTGGATTATTATTATTTTTTTTCATATTAAATATATCTTGTATTGTAAGAGATAAATCTATGATGTCTAATTCTTWAAATTTGGAATATAAAATAACTATTATTATTTTATGATAACATGAGATGTTTTGTAAAAAAAAAGGTATTCGACAAAAAATTGGTAGGAGTTCTAAAAATCTTTCATCGGGAGTCCRYATTCTACAAAAGGTTAAGAACCACTGAATTATGTAATGTATTTAAATTCGAGTTATAGGTTCCATTTTCCGGTTTTTGTCCGGGCGACAAGTCTCTCTCTACGGATTATGGTTATATATCCTCACGGGACAGGTTTTAAATAAAATCGTCTCGAAACCACACAACAATATTGTTCGAGATTTATATGAATA